TGCTTTCCAACGATCTAACTCAAAAAGAGACCGTGGTTGTCGAGCAAATTCAGATGGCATCATACCACGTAAGCTTAATAGATTAGCAGATATTTTTTTTATTTGGGTATTTGAAAGTCTACAATGTTTAGGACCTGACTTTAAAAAGGTAAGTATGCGTCTTACTACTCCAAGACAAACCATGTGCATATAGTCTAAAATAAAATCAGAAACATAAGATATTTGAAGTTGAGCTAAAGGAGAAAAAGATTTCTGATGTATAGTGTACAAAAAGTTATTAAACTCCTCAGTTGAACTTGGAGTTGATAGGTTTTCATCAATAAAAACCACTCTATGATCCTCATATAATCCTTGAATTTGGCACCTTTTACAAGAGTAACATCCTGTATGACCTTGTATACATTTAAGAAAACAACGAGAAGGTGCATCACATATGAATGCTTTATGTTTAACATTAATTTTTTTATTATCGTAGTATAAACCTTCATTAGATAAAAATAAAAAATTCTTAAGTGAAATCACAGAGAAAATTATCTAAGCAGGTTGGTTTACCATTTCCACAGAAAAGTGCATTTATAAAAATATAGTTCTCTATTAAACCAAGTATTGGCCATAGTTGAAGATTAGAAGATTTAAAAAGAGGTAGTCCATTAACATTAACAGCAACAGATAATTCAGTATTTTGAGAATCTTTTTTGGTATTCAAAAAATAATTTAAGCCATCAGCAATGGTAAAATATGCATAAGTTCCGCCACACTTTCTATCACCTGTAAAAACTTTAGAGGATTTTAAAAGGGTTTTTCCATCTTTTGACAGCTCTGAATGACCATGCCTTCTGAGAATATTCAAAAGTTCCTTTAAATTACTTTGAGAAATGTTACTTTTTGACGACCACTTTGCCAAACCTTGTGATAATGTTTCTGTTTTCAATAGTGTTGAAATTCTGTTTTCAACAGTGTTGCATTAAAACATTCAAAATTTTCATAATTTTAACTCAAAGATAAATTTGTTACTCCACTTTCTTCTTGAATATTAGCAGGGGCTTCACAAGGTGTTTCATGCTCATAAGAAGCATTACGTTCACGATTCATATTAGTGCTAATATCGATAACTTCATCTTGCGTCATTATAAAATCTAACATACTTTTATTCAGGCACGACGCTTCATTCGATTTTCAGTTTCCATGAATAATGTTTAAAAAGATATATAAGTCGAAGTTTAGAAATCAAATGTAAGTCAAAGAAAACTTTTAAACTTTATAAAAAAGCTTATTAAGTTTATGAGACACGAAATATTATCACGCCAATGTAGTCTTACTGAAGACGTTTTTAAGACGTTTTAAAGAGTGCTATTTAAAATATTATACCGAAAGTAAAAGATTGACGCACTAAAGACGTCATACGAAACCAAGCAAATATTTTCTTGTCTTTTTAAAGATGTCTTTAAGACGTATATAAGAAAATTTAGATGGACGCCAAAAAAAGGATTTAAAAAGCTAGATATTAAACGTCTTGAAGACGTCTTTCTATGACAAGACCATTTAATGACCTAAGTAAGACGGTCTTAAAGACGTCTTGTGCTTGCTGGGTATCATGTAATTAAAACGCTCAGTTTTTTTGCGTTTTTAAAATAATATCATTACACATTAATGAATTTGTGGCGCGAAATTTTCCTGCTAAAATAATAAAACTAATTTTTTCATAAAGAAAAATATGTAAACAATGCACTTGCTAAATTCATTTGACGTGGTCCGCACACTTACGTTAACGACGTAGGGAAAAAAATAAAAAATGGTATCTTCTCAGATAAAAAAATTAAAAACAAATGTTCAAATCCTAATATTTATACTTTTTCTGGCTAGATTTTTAATACGCTTTCAATTAGTCAATTAATACGCTTCAGTTATAACATATATAAAGTTGTTTAAAACAAGTTTATAAAGAGAGAGATACACAAACATTTTGCAAAACATTATTATTCCAGATAAACAATATGAAAGAAATTAAAAAAAAATATGACTAACTAAAATAAAACTCGAATTAGTCATAAAAACAAAGTGATATGCTGTAACAAAAATGTAATTCAGCAAAGAGAAAATTTTATTTATAAAAATTATAAAAGAAATCGTTTGTATATACAAGTTCGAAAATAAAATTTTGAAAATCTTTAAACTACTTTTATCTCAAAAATTTACAATGGGAACAAAAATTAAGCTTTTTATAAATTTTCTTAACGGTTTTAACCAGATTGCCAAATTTGCCAAAACCAAATTGTCAAATTTGACCAAACTAAATTGCAAAACTTATTTTCAAAATAATTTCAGTTTTTCATTTTCTTCCAACCATATATTGAATATACTGTTTCTTCAACAATGACTAATAAGGCGTTATTTTGTTTAATTTAAAAATGTTTGATGTATTAGTCTCTAGCAGGTATAATTAAAAAAAAACAAGTTTTGCATCTGCACACTCAATCTGTAGCTCAATCTGTGGCATTAAACATAAAATTGAGAAAAATTTTCTAGTTGTTGTTCATGGTCCTACACAATTAACACAGTTTTGAGTTTTCTAGTCTAACAAACCTTTTCTTTCAGAGTCACATATCTTTATCATGGCTACAACCATATTTATTGATGGTTAGGCTAATAAAGTATAGGCATTTTTCAACTTTAGCTTTAGAAAGAAGTTTTCCAATAATCAACCTTTTTGAATATTTTTCTAAATGGCCTAGGCGTGGTGTAGAAACCTTATGGTCTTATTTTCAAAAACATTCCAATATAATATAAACGTTTCGCAAAAAAACCAAGTAAATTAGAAACCTAGTGAGAAATGAGCTAGCGACTAGTAAGCGACAAGCTAGCATTATAGCGATTTTCTAGCGGTTTTTTTTCTTATTTTTTTTTCTAATGCCTTTAACATCTTTAAAAACTTGATTTTTAGTGTTGAGTCTATTATATTTATGAGAATAATTAAACTTTAAACATTGCGATTTTGTAGAAATGTGTCGCTAGCTACATATCGTAGCTTTGTAGTTAGCTACAAAATATCCACAAATCTATAGCAGGTTGATAGCTACATATCAAATTTTTTTAGACAGCGATTTTATTACGATATGACGCTAGCTACAAAAGCCAGTGGGTCTTTAGCTTATTAAGCTAGCTGTCTTTGTAGCCAAATTGCTGTTTTTACCTTTAAAAATATCGATAATTTTTTTCTAACTTAAAAAAGCTACCGATCCTCGTGGCCAAATAGCTGTCTTTATCGTTACGATTACAGCTAACTATACGCTAGCCGATTTCCCACTGAGCAGTCAACTAGCTGTAATTTTATATTTTTTGTAATCATGCCACTATTTTATGTTTTGTTCTATGTTTATGTATTTAATACCACATCGTTTGGAACCATGCGGTTACTAAGGTCATTATTTACAACACCAGTATCTAAAAGCTCTCTATTAATGAAAAATATGTTACGCCTTTTAAACTGTTAGAAGTGCTTTGTACATCAGTATTTTCAGTGTTATTTAAAATGATATTAGTGACACTTTTGGTATTTTTAAAAATGTAATTTTTCCTAAGTATTATTATAATTTGAATATTCTGTGAGTTTATTGATATAGAATTCAATGTTTTCAGTTTTAGCTTTATTTATGTAAAGTATAATTAAATCAAATAATGAGGTAATAAAGCAAATACAATCTGATAAAACAATGACTATATTTTGTGACTATTTATAATGTAAATGTTGACAGACAGATGGTTTGCGTTCAAATTTCAATTCCATTAGTACAAAATAAACACGTTACAACTAAACAGCCATTTTTAGTGTTGTTTCAATTTTTAAACAATTAATGATACATCTTTTTAAAAATAGTTTAGTTCTGGATCTGCTGATATAGCAACTATGTCATCTCTTTTTTTTTATTATTTAAGGACTCTGTTAATTTTAAACAATGATTATACTTTCTAGCTGTTCTATGCAAAATAGAGCCTAAATTTTTTCTTTTGTAGTTTTCATTGCAGTTAGTATTTTTTCATTAATGTGTTTTAAAAAACACAAAAGTGAAAGTAAGCGAAAGTAAACAACTTACTAGAACTAACAGGACAACTGCAATGTTCTATTTCAGGATTAAATCAATTAAAGAGTAAAACAACTCTCAAATAGGCACTATATAATTTTATACTATTAGATTTAATGCATGCAACAATTAACCAGGTAACCGTTTTAACTTTCTAGCATTCTATATGCTTTTTCAGGAAATCCGTATTTCCCTTCCTTTTTTATGGCCACAATATCTGTAAAAGACATTTTCACTAATTTTCTTATCGTAAAACATCTTGTTTGAGGACCATTCAGCTTTAATTTTGGGTATTTTAAGTGAGACTGCATTGAAAATACAGGTTTGCTATTCAATAACAATATTCAATAGCCTATTACTAATACTTTCGAGGAGTTGCGAAACAAAATGCAAATGTATTTGCGTTATTTAAACTGAAAGTTTAATAAAAACTAATGTCTAATAGTATTAGGGTACACTTTATTTTTAGCTTTAAATAACGTAAACACATTTTGTTTCGCAATTCCTTGAAAGTACCACATAAGACTCTTTTTCTATCTTTTTTAATCATTTTCGTTTTTAATGATTTAGGAACTAATAGCAGCAGCGACAATATTGTTTAAATGATATTTTTTAACAACCATCTTTATTTTTTTCCCTAAATCGAATTAATTTCGATATCAAGCATTTGAAATGAATTTGGCTAATTTAAAGATGCAACTTTTGTGTAATATGAGCATGCTCAAATGACTCTGTGTTTTTCATTGAAATTACCTAGTCCTTAAATAGCAGTGATTTTAATTGCTTTTTGAATAAAAACAAAATATAGTAAAAATTTTAATATTTTAACAATACTTATTATTTTTCTGTAATTTAAATTCAAAAAATTTGAATTTTTATCGTTCAAAAGTTTTTGGTAATAAAGTTGAAAAAACAACGAATTTTTTTTTTACAGCGAATAAAATAAAATCGCTGTAAAATATAGTAATATTGTTTCAACAAAAATAGATTTAAAATTTAATCTTTTAATAACAAATTTTGTTAATAAGGAATCATTTTATTCCAAAAATTAGTTCTAATTGTTAGGTTATTATTTTTTTACGTGATGCTATTTTTTTGAGCTAATTTAAAGTGCTCATATTACCAAGTGGTCTGGGAAATATGAGCACTTTTGCTACTTTTTTAAAACCTCTGTGTTTTTAAGAAAAAAATTCGGATGCCCAAATATCTAAGTAGATCATGAGCAGGGGTCCCTAAAAATTGTTTATTCGCAAAAATTTTGGATCCAGCATATGCTGGCTCCAAATGCGCATAATTATTTTTGATTCTTATGCGCATAACTATTTTTGAAAATATTCCAATTTTCGCTTAAAGTGTTACCCTAATATTAGGGTGTTATTATCATAGGTAATATTAAGGTATTAACCTACCTTAATATTACCCTAATCTACCCTTTACAGAT